TCATCAGAAAATTTTCTGATGAAGGGTCTAGGCCCGAAATGTCAGCCTTCCTGCTCCTATGATGCTGCTTGGCCTGCTGTGTTCATCCAGCTCTACACCTTGTTATCTCAGATTTTCCAGCATCTGCAGTTCCTACTATCTCTGATTAATTTGCCATCAATCTGGTTGTGGGTTACATAATCAATCACCTTTCTAAGCGAAGCCAGGGAAGGAAAGGAAGAAACAGTCTTGAAAAGAAAGGGTCTTTGAAACAATAGTTGTACCTACCATTTTTCAATGTGATGATATCAGTTGATAACTAACTTGCATGTTTATTGAACTGTTCTAAACTGTCAGTACAACAGTTGTCAAATTGTTGAAAACTTCGAGGTGATGGTGTTCTAGAACCCAAAATAAAGCGAAAGGTCCCTCTGGATATTAACATTCTCCATTAATGAACTCCAAAGGAAGTCATTGGACTCAAAAATTAATTCTGTTTCTCTCTCCACACATGCAACCGGGTCTGAGTTTCTCCTGCACTATTTTTTGATTTCTGGCATCTGCAGTATTTTGCTTTTGTTAACATATTTTCTTAATTTGTTTTCTGCCAGTCACAAGTCAGATATGAAAAAGATTACCTCACTGTTCCCAAACAAGGGAATGTTAAGAGGACTAAAAAGCAGAACTCGCAATCTCAGGATACAAAACCCAAGCGAAAACGAAGTGAAACATCCAAGGTAAGGATTTTGTTTCATACTACCTTGATTATATGGAAGATGGCTCAAGTGTTAACTATTTAATGAAAGTACAGTTTTCATTAATATTTTTGAAATTAACTGGGCAGCTATTAAGTTTTGAAAAATTCAGCGTGCTTGTTGATGATTATACTAAAAGGTGTCATTAAAATTGCAGCACCAAAATTCAGTGCACTACAATATTTACAATGGTATCCAGAATATAATAGACTCTGAACTCAAGAAAGTAAACCACTTTTAATTTGGTTGAGTGGTGAGTTCTGACAAGTTCAAAGGCACCATTTGGAAGATTTGACTCTAACTTCATAATTGAACTGAAATAATAAAAGCAAGTTTGGTAATGTTCTTTTAAGTTTAATCCTGGTACCTTGCCAATCTGTTGCTGCCAATCACCACAGTTTGTTTTTTATTAGAAAGGTTAGTGTAAGTTATGGCAAAAAGCAATTTTTCTGTTGATGGTCACGATATGCTCAACATTGCATGTAAAATGAAACTTAAGAGGTTATTTCATTAAAGTGAGATAGTTGCAATACTGGATTCCTCAATGGTGGACCTAAACACACACAAAGCAAGTGTTTGACACTGTTTAAAACTTATGGTATTTATTTTGGAAGAATTGCTCTCTAATAAGATATTCCAGTCTTCACATTTTTAAATTTAACTCACTTTTTTTCTGTATTAATCTAAATGGTAATACAGGTTGAAAGCATCATTATTTTTACTAACAACATGACACAATCAAAACTTTTTTGATAGATTCAAAAAGAAAAGCATATAATTTATGGGCAACCAAAATGGTCTTGAAAAGCTGCGGTAAATCTCCCACCAAGTTAAGCAGAGTAATGCATAAATACCATCATATAAACAATGTAGAACCTTGACCAAAGTATTATATTCTAAAGCCCGCAAGCCTAAAGTCTGCTAAAGCCCTCTGTGTAGTTGCACTGAAAACATGGTGATATGACTGAAATTTAGAAAAAGGTGATCAATGCTCTACTTGTTCAAGAATCATGCCATCTTTTCAGAATAAAAAGATTTTTTGCAATTTGCTATATTTCACATCTCCTAGATGTTCTTTTGCACGTGTTGATTCTTCCATTTATTTGTGACTTTCTTTACCATTAAGTGTCTCAATGATACATTCCCTTGACCATCACGCCAGGGGTACAGTGAAGTCATAGCAAATTTACGTGGCCTAATTCCATTACAAATATGGACAAAAGAATTGAAAATGACACAAAAATAAAGCTAATATAATTCAAAACAGAAAATGAATTACAGTTCCAAATATCATCTGCACTGTCTGCTGCTAAATGCCACTGAAAATTTTGGCAGCTTGTATGATGAATTTTGTGTGCGTACATTCTTCCAACTTTGCTCATTAATTGTTCTCCGAATTTATAGCATTGCCATTATGCTTTGGCCATAAAAGGTAATTGATTAAATTAATGTAATTACCATCATCACATCTAAATAGGTTTTTAACACTCACCACAATATTAAGCAGATAGTATTTTAAACCAAATTAATTCTTGTGCTTTAACAAAGAATGTTTTTTTCTTCATAGTCTTCGACGGGTGGAGACGGTACCAACCTTTCACACGGTCCGAAGGTTCATATATGTGAGCATTGCTGTGCCTCTTTCCGTAGTTCTTACCATCTTCGTCGCCATGTACTAATTCATACTGGTAAGAAATGAAAAGTATTAATGACAGTGAAAGTAAGCTGTGAATTTTCCCAGTATTTTCCATGAAATTCTTAATGCTGTCTGCTGACGCTTTGCTTCTCTGTTTCTTACTTTTTTTACTGATGAATTTCTTGCTTCAATTCTTGTTTGAAACTATTTAGTTTGACATGACAGTCTATATTAGAGGGATAATTATAAAATTGTTCTTGGTGTAGGTGAACGACCTTTCCAATGTAGCCAGTGCAACATGTGTTTCATTCAGAAGTATCTGCTTCAAAGGCATGAGAAGATCCACAGTGGTATGCACCCAGCAATTTTATTGGCACCTATTTCAGCTAATTTAGTGTTGAATTTTTCTTGTAACTTTTAAAAATTCTATACCTATTACCTGTGTGGTGTTATATGATTCTAGCTGATGGTACTCCTGGACAGGTCCAGAATTAAATCTGGCCAATCAATCTTGTGTTTTTTTTTTATTTTGGCTAACATGCTGGTCATTCACTGAAACATAGTCACACAAGGCTACAGAATCTCTTTAACAACAGATGTTTACTACACAAGACAAAAACAAATAAACTTAACAAGCTTCCTAGTTACAGAACTCTGTCAGAAAAACTTTAAAGCCCCCAGCAAAAGAAAGGTTGAACCTATTCCCCAACACCATCACTTTACAGCGAATCAACTCCAGGGCAAACTGATTCTCCCCAGTTTCTGTCCTGTGAACTGTGAAATCATCTTGTGTGAATACTCTCAAAACTGGGAGCTTGGACTTTATACTTTCTACTAATCTGCAGACTTCTAACCAAACACTCCTGGTCTGGAAATTACATAAAGAAAACTTTACTACTGAGATAATTTTATTCCTGAACTAAGGGAAAAGCTGTTTTGTAGGTGAGACTAAAATTGCTTATGGCCAGTCAGGTCTCCTCGAAACTGCCCTAAAAATCTGCAGTCTCTGTTATTTTCTAAACCAAACACTAATTCTTGATTATTCTGATCTTAAAGCAAGCTAATGGCCTCCAGTGTTTACTCACCTATCATAGGCCTCCACACTATAAATAATTTCCATTCACACTCCAGGGGTTAATGGTTCGCTGACATATATTAGATTGGGTCACTGTTGCAGAAAAAGACTCTGACCTAGTTGATTTTATTTTTAAAAAAATTCACGAAATTAACCAATACCCAAATGTCATTACTTTGAAGTGCAAACCCGAAATGTAATCATGTATATTACATCATACACCTTTCTTTACAGGTGGAATTGTGTACAACATTGATATTTATATATATTTTCAAGTTTAAAATTTAAAATGAATATGCACATATCATCCTCAGGAGAGAAGCCATTCTGTTGTGATCAGTGTAATATGAGGTTCATCCAGAAATATCACATGGAGCGACACAAACGGACACACAGTGGAGAAAAGCCTTATCAGTGCCACACTTGTCAACAGGTATCAGTGAACTGACTGCTTTTGAACTCAGTTCCTGTGAATGGGAATGATGTAAAATGTAACTAGTAAGGCAGCATTGTTAAATTAATAAAAACAGATTTGTGGAGTGAGTATGGATTTATATAGTCAAGTCCTGTGGTTAGAACCATCATATATTGTGCTGCTTTATTTGATTTATAATAGATAATGGTTAAAGCACGGCATAAAACCTGTTGGCCAGTATTGCTAAACCAGTGTACTTATTAATTATACTCCGTTCCAAAAGCTGATGCAGTTTCCTGTCTGTGTAGGCCAGCTGAAGTGTGTGGGGCAGGGCAACATATGGTAAAATGTTCTTTAGTTGCTGAGACTTTAAGGAAAGAGATTGAAGAGAATTAAGTATGTAATCAAAGAGTAGGCCAAATGTTAACCTATTTTGAAACTTCCATGTTCTATAAACCAAATGAATTGCTACAATTTTTACAATTCTGTTTGTAGTGGATGGAAAATGGACTTTGTGAAAATAACCATAGTCAATATTTGTAGATTTCAAAATTTATAAAAGAATATGCAACATTATATAAGGTTCGCCTGTGACAGCCTGCAGCATATTGTCCATTATCATGGAAGTGTCATCTGCTATCAGTTTTCTCCACTTCTCTGCTCTCAAGGTTGCTACCTCATTAGGTATGATAATGAAATATTTATTTTTGGGAATAGAAGCTCCTGTTTTAGTTTCAGTGGTCATTCATTATTAATGTTTATATGTGTTTATGCAGTATAACCATTCTATGATTCTCTACCTGTGTACATGTATGTGAGTGTTAATTATTGTACAAGGGATTTGTAATTCTCCTTTTTGTCTTTTTCCCAGTATTTTTCTAGAACAGACAGATTATTAAAGCACAGACGAACATGCGGTGAAGTCCTTGGTAAAAGTGAAAATGGAATGGAACCTGGACCATCAAATCAAATGGGAAATGGTTGCTTCACATCAACTCAGGGAACTACAGGTGCACGCAAGAAAACAAAATCAAAAACTACATCTCAGGAGACTAAGGAGAAGACAGCTCGCAAAAAGAATAAATCCAACATTTCTGAACTTCCAAGTAACTTAACCACCTGCAAAGATAAATTGTCTGTATATAATATGCATGAATATGCTGTTGAGATGCCAATGGTGTCTTCTAATATGAAGTTGGGAAATGAAGAGGATTTGCAAACCAGAGCACCGAAACTGGTCATCAAAAAAGTGAATCGGAAGAGCCCTCAAAGGACAGGCCTGAACAATGCGACGCCTCTTGTTATACCTGCCACTGAACTGGTGAGGCAAAAGCTGATGACTAATAAACAAGGGACTTTGGCATTGAATAATAGCACCAGCATGGATAATATTGTCTTACTGCAGAATGCAGGCAATAAGTCTGAACAGGCTAGCAACTGCAACTATGATGATGCTATGCAGTTTTTTAAGAAAAAAAGATACCTGCAAGCTGCTTCCAGCAACAATGACTATGCAGTAAGTATAGGGCAGATGGCATCTCAACAGTCTGTAATTCAGGCAGCAGTTGCAAGTGTCATGGATAATGAAACCTCACTTACCCTGCTGGACTCTTCTCCAATGAATGTGGACGTGAAAGTCTGTCACGAAAAGTCTGGAATTCCAGATGAGGTCCTTCAAAGCCTTCTAGATCAATATTCCCACAAGCATGAGGGCCAGCATGATGTTCCTTTTGATATTGCTGACCAACATATCCCAATCCATTCTTCAGGAGAAAATCCAGAGATACATGAGAATGCTGTTTGCCCAGAGCCGCATGCATCTCGTGGTGACAAAACAGGAATGCTCCAAGAATATTCTAAGTATCTGCAGCAAGCTTTAGAGAGAACAAGTCAAAGTGATGGGTTTTCACTAAACCCAGGGATGCAGTTTTGTCCCTCTAGTCTTCCATCCAGTCTCCCCAGCCATAATTTATTCCCTGATAAACAGGCTTATACTACACCTGCACTCGAGTGTGGTTTCAGTCCATCTATTACCTCAGTATTGCCAACCACCTCACCAAAATCACATTTTGGTTTGTTGGTTGGAAGTTCCCAACCTGGCATTCACTTTCCTGGTACAGAAGCTGCTCATCAAAGGCTGACGCCATCTCAGGAGTTAGTGGGGCAGCTGGAACAACAAAAGAACTTGGAAGCTGGCCTGAACCATCAGGTCTATCAGATTGAGAATTTTGCCCAGGCCTTTGGATCTCAGTTTAAGTCAGGTGGTAGAGTGCCAATGACCTTCAGCAGTGGCACCAACGAAGAGGCAGGCCACAGAATAAGGACTACAGTTTCTGAATTCTCAGGGTACACTAATTTGTTGTCTGATGCTAATGAGCCAATTAGTACAGGAGCCAAGACTCCAACCAGCCAAAGTTACAGGTAAGGTCATAAGTATGACCAGGCTGGAGGGCCTTGAGTGCTTGATACCATGTTTTTGACCATGTGTAAGCACATTGCCAGTCCAAATGTTTATATATCAGGTTCTGAGAAAAAATGTATGAAGCCCTTCCAATGCAACATTTTACCATTTTGTTTGGTGCATTCAGTCTGTAATCATGTTAGAACAGTTTGTATTAGGAATAAATTTTAAACACAGTGGATAGGCAGAAAATTAAATAAGTCTGGAATTTTTTTCTCAGTGGATTGGGAAATGTTTTAGCAGAATAGCATGACTTGGATGGGGTTAAATGTTTTTTTGTGGGATTTGTGTTTTTTTAAAATTCAACTGTACTATTAATGGAAAAAAGAGTAACTCAAAGCATCAGGGAAGTGCTCAACGTTCAATTTTCAAAATAGAGACATCAATAATATTGAGCTATGGCTCTAGTTTGTAGTATGACTCAGGAAACATTTGATGCAGTAAGGGGAGATTTCTATTGAAACAAATTCCACAAGCACTGACTTGAAAGGGGAGCAGAACTTTGATGTTGGGAATTTTGCTGTGCACATCTGTGCATTGAAGCATTTGGTCCCTGAAAACAGCTTTGAAGCTGTAAAGCAGTAACCTCATTGAGTCAAAAGGAACTAATGACCAATTTCATTTCAGTGTAGTAATAAAAAAAAGGTTTTTAAAAATCTTTAAAAAAAATTAGGTAGGCAAGACTTTATTTACCTCATTCTGCATTTTGAAAGCCGTGAATAGGCAGGTACCAATGCAAGTATCAGTAGTACAAGTAGCATGAATCAACATTGTGTAAATATAATAATTCCCACTAACCTTAGTGATGTTTACAGGAGAAAAGATCCTTGTTTCAGAAAACTGCAAAGTACAGGGTGAAAGGATGAAATTGCAGTACTGTACAGTGAAAACTATGGGTTCAAAGTATATTGAAAGGTTCAGTATGCTACATAAAGTCTTTTAAAGTTTCATAGTGTTGCAAAACCATAGTGTTACAGTTCAGATTTGCCCATCAGTTTAATGGTAACAACCTGCTATTATAATAGCCATTAAAAGTGTGTGGTAATTTGCTGCTTTATTTTGAGTTTTAAGAAATTGAAAATGAGAAATAGTCAAAAGTAACAAATTTAGTTAAACCAACACATGCTTGATTTATTGGCCTAGTTGTATATATTCAAAGTAATTTTACTTTGATTCTGTATTCCATCCTGAATGCCTGAGGACGCAAATGATTACAGTGCATAAGCTTTGTTATTTATAATTCATAAATAGTTTGTGTAGTTTCAGAGAGATATCTGTAAGATTGCTAACAATTATATTGTATGTTTGAAAAAGTTGTATTTGACTTGAATTATCTCAAGGAACAGTTAGAGCATTTCCCTTATCTGGGAAAAGCCAGTGGAATAGTAAGTAAACTCTAGCTGTGGATTGTAAGTCTAGAGTCAAAGATGTCTCCTAGAGTTTTTCAACCCATAATACGTCTAGTGGTACAATGATCAGAAATTGTCTAAACAGCAGTAATCAAGATCCACAGCTTCCTTTTCTTGAGTGTGTTGATTATAATCAAGACTAGAATTGGACCTGCTTTCAAATGATTCCAGCAGTGTTCATGTTGCTGATTGAGCTTAACTGTACATCAGTTTATCACTAAAATATCTAAGCCTTTAAAACCGTTGTAAACTAAATGCTAGGTATCCTTTTATTTAATTTGAGGCTATGTGCCCTGCTAGTAAATACACTGCCTGTTTTTTTTTGTTGCCTGTTTGAACAAGAAATTTAATTCAGTCTTTGGTGGAACACGTGCATGGAGGAAAATTAACTCTGTTCTTTGTCCAGCGTAGTGAAATGAGATTCTTTTTGAACTGATAAAATTGTAACATTATAGGACCTGAAATTTAGAGTGTCCTGATAGGTTTGGATGAAGGAGGACCTCATCCCAATTTGAGTGCTCTCTCCATAATACAAAATCGGTTGTCTTCCCATTGCAGCATCTAGCTGTTTCATAAATTAATCCAGTACCCTCTGATTAAACACTCTTCTTGATAACCCAGTCTTTGTCCTAATTTTGTCATTCATTGTTCCAAATCCCTGTATCTTGCTACCCTGAATTATCTAAAATTATTGCTTTGAGTTCCTTTACTCTGATTCCTTACCAGAGAACTTTCCAGAAGAGCCCCATCTTATCGTCTTGTTCATGTGAGGATACTAATTAGGAGCTGGAGTAGGCCATTTGGCCCCTCCCACCCGTTCTGCCAGTTGTCCCAATTTTTTTTTCTTCTTTGTTGATGGACTTTACCTCACATCAAGTTGTAAACTTGGATTGCTTGCCAAATCAAAATCTCATCCACAATGGTTGAGTTTTTGTTTTGTTCGCATGCTTGTTTAGAGTCATTGCTGAGTGCTGTTGGGGGAAGAGTGGATTGGTGGAAGGGAAGTGAGAAAAGACTGAAACCCTTGCTTCACAATAGCATCAGTGAGCAGGCTACACAATGGGAGGAGATGTGCAGTGAATGATCTTAATAATGTGCAAGTGTCGATGTAGTTTTCCCAGTTGTGTATGTCTATACATTCATTTTTTGACTGGAGAAATTTCTTCGTCTAAATCCACATTTTAGCAGTAAACCGTGGCATTTAGATGACAGATGTTTAGCCACAACCCAATGAGACTAAATCAGTAAGTCACAATTTATCCATCCTCGCCTTGTTATAATGGAGCAATATTGAAGTGAGATGATTCTGTACTGATTGTTTCTTTTACCAGAAGAGGAGACCGCCAAGTGATTCCCAAAAATGGATTTCATCAATTTTACTTGCAAGCAGTTGATGGTAATTGGCTTCTGACCATTTTTAAAGTCACAATGCGTCAGAATGGTTCTGTATCTAAGAGGCATAACCATTCTTGTTGCTATTGAGATAATAGACTTTTCATTGCTAAAAAGTTATGAAAATTTGCAATTAAAATTTCATACCAAATGGAATATGCCTACAAGCCATTTACTACTTACTATTTTGGTTACTTATATCTAAAAGTGGATAGAGGAGTCAACACTAGTTTAAGGTATGTTGTGTATAATGTACTAATGCAGTTGCATGTTTTGTGGAGCATTCGTTTTAACTTTGACTTCTGCTATTTCCCTTATTAGTGCACAATTCATTTCTTTCCATTTTCAGTCAGCAATTACATCAAATTTCCATTTTCTGCTTGAAATTATAAAGGGCAGGTGCTACCGCTTTTTCATTTTTGCCCCACTTTTAGAAGTGCCCCACTAGTTGGAAATTTAGATTTGCAATTTTGTTACGTGTTGTTAGTGACCATAGTTGATCCAGTTTTCACAAATATGTAGGATTCACCACAATGCCACAGTGAATGGCCAGCTATGAAATACTTTTGAATTAATCTTTTAAACAGGTGACTAGAATGTTCTAATCTGATACACTCCATCTACTTCTGTCAAAACATTATAGACTAAATCAGGTATTGTATATAACTACCTTTTTATCAGCTTATTTGCTGTAAAATACATGTCACGTGAGTCTGGATTGTATGTTCAGAGATATTCATTATACCAAGTGTTTCAGTAGATTAGATGAGATCATTTGCTGGCAACTTAATAATACTCTTGACAGAAATCACACTCTGTATAAAGTACATCTTTCCACAAGCACCTTTATTGATAAGTTATATTTTTAAAGCCATAACTAGGCCTCACTAAATCAAGCTTTGAAGCGCCATAAAGCCACTTACTAAACCATTCCCCTGTGCGCCTGTGTGTGTGTAGTGCAGTATTGGTTATAGTAATCTGTTATCGCTGTAATATTTCCCATTGAAAATTTTGTGAACTGTTCAACTGATAAAGGAAAAATTTGAGTTTAGATTTTAGGAACATTCAACTTGTAGTCGCACAAGTGCTATAAATTGGTGTTATTTTAGGTTATTCATTACGCCATCAAGAGAAAATTGAACTGTTATTATTTAATTAGCAACATGAAACAAAGGCCTCCTATGACCTCAGCAATAATGAATGTGACGTAGTGGATTCCTATTTCCTGCTTTCATACAAGAGAGTAGAGTAAAATTATTTAACAGTGATTGGAATAATCACACTTGTGCAGCTAAAGATGTAAAAATTTTAGTCATTTTTTAATATCAATTCTATTACCCTTATGTCTCTTCCAGTGATCTAATGCATTTTATCTGGCAAGACTTTGTGAATCTTGTTCAAAGTTATTTGCTGCTAATAACTTAGATCAGATTGTAGATATATCTTTAGGGGGTTATTAGATCACATCTCCCTCCTCTAACTACATGCTGTGACGTAATTATTTGCCAATTGCCCAATGTAGGCGTATTTCTAGATATAACCGGCATACTCAGCCTAGCAATATATAAAAAGGAAAGAACAAATTCCTCTGAATATAAGATTTAGATTAAAATATATATTCCAGCAGGTCCAGCTAAGGATTTATCACCTCATTATGAACTCATTTGACCAACTTGCTTGAACTTATTCGAAAATAGTAATCAAGGCTTAGTTTCTTAGAACCAACTTTAAAATTATATTTACTTCTGTGAGGTTTTATAGCTCAATAATACTTTTTGGTTCAATAATACTGTGAATATCTGCAACAATGCATTTTAGAAAATAATAGAATTTGTGATTTTGTAATCTAGCCAAATTCAGTAGATGTTTTTAAAATGTAACTCCGTAACACTGATTCAGTAATGCTGTCTTTCACAAACTACTCCCAAGTGTGAAAGGCACAGTTTGGAAAGAGGAATCCATAAAGACAGATTTAAATCTATAGTTCTGCTATAATATTCTATTTTATGCTTGTTTTTAAAATCCTGGCCTGATTGCCTAGAAATGACCACAATGTGATCACAATTAATTAACTAACCTCACTCAATATGCCGAGTACAATGTGAACTTCTTAATTTAAAAATCTTTTTTGCAATTTTTTTGATTTCTTCCCAAGAAGGTTATTTCTGATTAGAAGAATTGTAGCACAATGTAGCTTCAAATAACATTATTCTGTGTGCTGCAAGGTCACAGAATATACCCTGCATGAATGGATTTCTATGTAATTGAGTTATATGGGGAAGTGAACTGGATACTTTTCTAAGACCTTACACCGCAAGTTATTAATGAATGCATCATTGTGAAATCAGGCTGTGTACCTTCAATGTCAGGAAATGGTGTCTTTTTTGTCAAATGTCTATCCACATATACCAATTTGGAGGAACAGATGATGGTGTTGCATGAAGCACTGATCCGAGTTAGCTTCCTGTGTTGCATGATCAATATAATTCATGAAACAAGTTACAGACAAATGAACCTCTTGGAGGGGCTGCCAGAAACTGGCAAGATGTTTTTAAATAATTTTTCATCAGTCCCAGAAAATCAGGATTTGTTGCTGATCGTTGAGCCCTGAATTAAGTAAAGTGTATTTAGCATGGGCTGTATTCTTTCCTGACTTTAATGTGGATTACCACCTTTCTTGTATTTTGTGACCCATCATATGGAGCAGGTGATTCTTTTTAGAACTTTGGCTGTAGAAATTTTCTTCAGATTTTTATCTCTAAGAAAAACTGCCCTTATATTTCAGATTTAAATTCTAGTAGGAAATCCAAATGTGTAACTTTGTATCACAGTGTCACATTGAAAATCTTCAAATATGGGTAATGTTTGTAGTACGGAATAGATTAACAAGAGATTCCACCATTAAATATTCAGAAGTAGTCTGTAGTGCATAATATTTTCCTTATCTAGCTGCATTTATGTCTAGAAAGTTTAGTAGATTTTAATTTTGCAATAAAGAAACAAACTGCAATTTGTATAAAGGTTGTACCATTTCATTTGGCGGGTTGGAGGAGAGAAATATTAGCATTCCTTTTTTCCCCACCCCTTCCACATGTACACACACACACTCACAAGAAAGAGGTGTGAACAGTGATTTGTAAGTAAAGGTGTTAGAACACTACTTATTAAAGAACCCTGGAGTTACTCTTCGTCCCGCGTCCACATTAGTACCAGCTACAGACTGAAATCAGAAAAGCCTTACTTGGCATCGTATATGGTTGCTGACTCTGGTTGGACATAATCCTGGAGGTTCCATCTTGTGATCACTAGTATTCAGCCATTCTGCCCATTCCAAAAGCTATTTTCCCATCTTCAGTATTTTCATGACTAATAAAATGAAAAATGCTCCTATGATTTTTTTTCTTCCAGGTTTCTCACAGCAGGAGACTCCTGGAGACTCCTGGGCAATCCTGGAGGGTTGGCAATCCTGACCCCATCTCAATCTTGACACTCTAAGGCTAATTCAATAGTACTTCTCACCCTGGGCAATATGAAATCAGCAGTACAGAATATTGTAGATAATTAATCCAGGTGGTGATAATTAATCCAGGTGGTGATCTATGCAAATTTTATTTCACAAATGTAAAAGAACTTCCTTCCTATTGAACATTTTTCTCAACTTGCAACTCTTGCGACTGCATTAACAGGACTTTGGTAGACCTTGAAGCGACTTAACATACGAAAACTTCGAGAGCTATTCTGTTCTGTTATAGAGCTGCAGATATTCCGTGTTTGTCATGAAAAGCCATTACAGTGTAAGCCTTGTAAATATTATACATTTATAATATTTAAATATTTTCACCAGAATTCAGATATGTGAATGTTTAGAGGTCATTTTTTTCATGTCTGTACAAACCTCAATTATCAAATTTAATGACTACTTATCCTGCTATTTCATGAGGTGTGAACAGGCTGACATCAGTTCGTTTGATACACCAACACAAGGATTTTTAGATATCTTGTATCAAATCTGCTAATTACAAGCTTTTGAAAAGGCAAAGTAAATGTCTAAGTTTGTAGTTTAAATTTCCAAAAAAATTCATGATCTTTCCTATGTAACACAGTTAAAGGGAGTCTACTGTTTTTTTCTGTTTTTTTGTTTTGCACATGACTAGTTCTCAACCTGTGTAGAACTTAAATTTGAGATTGCATAATGAACATGAGTGAAGGGGGCAGAAAAGGATTCTGCGGTAATGCTGTAATTAGAAAGCGTCAATGTCATGCAGTGGAGACTTTAATCAACACTTGCAGCTATTATTAAAGCACCAAAAACAAATGCAATATTCTGTGAATTAGGAAAATCTGTTATCTCTCTATTTAAACCGTTAGCCTTATATATTAACATACCACATTTACCTCACAATAGCAGTTTTTGTAGAAAGTGTTTAATTGTGCATTTTTTTACAAGTTTGTAAGGAAACTGTTTACTTCCACTCATTATGTGAAATATATTTGTATTATGTAAGAACCCTTCTGTTATAATTGAGCAGTGTAATCCTTATTTGCTTCACACTTGATCCAAATTATGTAATGGATTATGACTTCTACCTTTTTTCTTTTGTATAGATCATGAAATATTTCATGTGAACTTTATTAATGGTCAAGCTAGTGTGTGGTGCACCATTTCTGACATCAATAAAATGTTCCTGCCAACCTAATACTTGATTTTGTTCTATTCTGAATTTCTGCTTAATGAAAGAACCAGTTTTTTTTTTTAAATTGCTGTGTATACAGTGCTTAATATAAATGGATATCCCTTAAGCAGTAATTACTACACAGCACTCGGTAGTCCACCCACCTGTTTGTAGGTGCACAACACTTTCCATTACCCATGTAGTCATTGGATATCATTTGGGAGGTCGATGTATGAAACATACATTGACACAATGAAAACGTACTCAAATGTATAAATTGTGTTTAGAAAATAAATGTTCTTAGAACAGTGGATTATTGTCAACTGCTTAAAAAAATTACAGCATTACATCTTTTGTTACATTAAGCAATCTTATTAACAGGTGTCACACGACTCCAAATTTTATATATTGTATGCTTTCTATGTGGTAGGCCAACACGATGTTGTGATTTAATACAATGATCAGATAGCAGTAATTGTACAATTGCAATTTAAGGCATTAAATTAATTTATAAAGTCATAGTCATACAGCATGAAAACAGACCCTTCGGTCCAACTAGACCATGCCAACCATATTCCTAAACTAAACTAGTCCCCCCTGCCTGCATTTGGTCCATATATGTTCAAACCTTTACTATTCATATATTTATCCAAATATCTTTTAAATGTTGTAACTGTACCTGCATCCATTATTTCGTCTAGTAGTTCATTCCACATACGAACTACTCTGTTTAAAAAAAAAAAGTTGCCGCTCGCAACCTTTTTAAATCTTTCTTGTCTCACCTTTAAAAATATGCCCGCTGGTTTTGAAGTCCCAACTTAGGGGACAAATAGACCTTTGCTCTTCACCTTATCTATGCCCCTCATGATTTTATAAAACCTTAATAAGGTCACCCCTTAACCTCCTACGCTCCAGTGGAAAAAGGTCCCAGTAGAAGCGTCCACACCCAAAACGTCAGCTTTCCTGCTCCTCTGATGCTGCTTGGCCTGCTGTATTCCTCCAGCTCTACACCTTGTTATCCCGGTCTATCTTGCCTATTTTTATAACCCATTCCCTGTAATATCCTGGTAAATATTTTCTGAAACCTCTCCAGTTTAATATCCTTCCTTTAACAGGGTGACCAGAAATGTGCACAGTATCCAGAAGAGGCCTCACCAATATCCTGTGCAACCTCAACATTATTAATACATATTTGGGATAATAAATAAAAGGCAAACATGATTTAAGAACATAAGAACTAGGAGCAGGAGTAGGCCATCTGGCCCCTCGAGCCTGCCCCGCCATTTAATAAGATCATGGCTGATCTTTTTGAGACTCAGCTCCACTTACCCGCCCACTCACCATAACCCTTAATTCCTTTACTGTTCAAAAATTTATCTAGCCTTGCCTTAAAAATATTCAGCCAGGTAGCTTCAACCGCTTCACTGGGCCGGGAATTCCACAGATTCACGACCCTTTCGGTGAAGAAGTTCCTCCTGACCTCACTCCTACATCTGCTTCCCTTTATTTTGAGGTGATGCCCTCTAGTCCTAGTTTCACCTGCAGCGGAAACAACCTCCCTGCCTCCACCTTATCTATTCCCTTCATAACCTTATATGTTTCTATAAGATCTCCCCTCATTCTTCTGAATTCCAATGAGTATAATCCCAGTCTACTCAGTCTCTCCTCATAATCAAACCCTCTCAACTCTGGAATCAACTGAGTGAATCTCCTCTGCACCCCCTCCAGTGCTAGTATATCTCTTCTCAAGTAAGGAGACCAAAACTGCACACACTACTCCAGGTGTGGCCTCACCAGGACCCTATACAGCTGCAGCATAGCCTCCCTGTTTTTAAACTCCATCCCTCTAGCAATGGCAGACAAAATTCCATTTGCCTTTTTAATCACCTGCTGCACCTGCAATCCTACTTTTAGCGATTCATGCACAAGGACACCCAAGTCCCTCTGCACAGCAGCATGCTGCAATTTTTTAACCATTTAAAACATTTAAATGCTGTTATTCCTACCAAAATGGATGACCTCACACTTAACAACATTGTACTCCATCTGCCAGACCTTTGCTCACTCACTTAGACTATCTATATCCCTCTGCAGATTTTCAGTGTCTTCTGCACACTTTGCTCTACCACTCATCTTAGTGTCATCTGCAAATTTTGACACACCACACTTAGTCCCTAACTCCAAATCATCTATGTAAACTGTAAACAATTGCAGTCCCGACACTGATCCCTGAGGCACACCACTAGCCACTGACCGCCAACCAGAAAAACACCCATTTGCCCCTACTCTTTGCTTTCTATTGGTCAACCAATCGTCTATCCATGCCAATACATTGCCTGTAATACCGTGCAACTTTATCTTATGTAGCAGCCTTTGGTGTGGCACCTTGTCAAATGCCTTCTGGAAATCCAGATATACCACATCCACAGGTTCTCCATTGTAAGTAATGTCCTCAAAGAATTCCACCAAATTAGTTAAACATGACCTACCCTTCATGAACCCATGCTGGGTGTTCCCAATGGGACAATTTATATCCAGATGTCTTGCTATTTCTTCCTTAATGATAGATTCAAGCATTTTCCCCACTACCGAAGTTAAGCTAACTGGCCTATAGTTACCTACTTTTTGTCTACTTCCTTTTTTAAACAGTGGCATCACATTGGCTGTTTTCCAATCTGCGGGAACCACCCCAGAGTCCAGTGAATTTTGGTAAATAATTACTAGTGCATTAGCCATTTCCCCCATCACCTCTTTTAGTACCCTGGGGTGCATTTCATCAGGGCCAGGAGACTTGTCTACCTTTAGCCCCATTAGCTTGCCCAGCACTGCCTCCTTAGTGATGATGATAGTTTCTAGGTCCTCACCTGCTATAATCTTCTTGCCATTAGTTTTCGGCATGTTATTTGTGTCTTCCTCAGTGAAGACCGACACGAAATAACTGTTTAATGTCTCGGCTACTTCCTCATTCCCAGTTATTAAATTGGCCTTCTCAGGATTTCTGATGAACATTTCCACCAATCTTGTCAATGTCTGTAAGCTGAAAAACTTTAATGTTTACCTCTTCAAAAGGCTGCAGTTGGTTATACTAGCAAATGAGATAAATTCTCTTTCTTTGCTCAATGGTTTATCTTTGCATATTTTACGTAGATTTATCAGATTTTGTGTTGAGGCAATTAGGGCAAAACGGTTGAGAAGGGAGGAAAATCTATGCATATAGTGTGTCCCTGCAGAGCTTTTACAAAACTTAGCGGAGTGATCGTGCTAGAACCGCTTGTTATATTGGTTTAGCTTGCATCCATAAAAGTCCTGGTTGGTTTAGGCTTTGGGCAGGGGTAAACTCTGAGCTTTGATAATGCCCTAAAATGTCCTAAAGGACTTGGATACGTACATCTGAATGAGCACAAGACTTGGTTGTAGCTAACTTTCAGACTTAAAAAGGATTCTAAGGGGGAAAAGATTTACTAATAAATTACTTACAACTATTTTTACAAATTATTATTGTTCTCACATTTCTTGTTGCATGTCTTTTTTCCCTTATCCCAAAGAGCATTTGTCCAACTGTCAAATTGTCACATAATATGGAGACCAAGCCATTTTCATGCCATTTTGGGTGTGTACCCACAAAATGGAGGTTACAGTCCATTGCAGCTATGAATTAAAGGAAAAAAAGTGGCATCAACTAGACCTTAAAATGTCTACTTCTTTAGCTGACTCCAGGTGCAAGGTCATATTTATTTGGAAAGCAGTATGCTGTGGAAATAAATCCTATTACTGATGGTACAAACATTTGAAACAACACACTAATCCACAAATGAACAAGATAGCTTCTGCAGAAAATTTAGAGTCTGGTGATCTGTAAGGTTTGTGACTAAACAAATCTTTGTGCACTATGTAACTCCAGGAAGCACATTTCCTGTGTTATAGATCAATCTGTCTTAAGGTACAACATAAGCAAATGGCACAAGAGGATTCAAGTATTTATCTCCGCTGTCTAGCAAATTCAAGGATCCACTGGAGCACCCAGTACCCAAGATTGATGCCACAGTTGATGTAGACCCTGTAAATCAATGAGTGGTTTGACTATGTATAACTTGAATTTTATAATTTTAAATGAAGAATTGGTCTCACCCCATAAACACTGTCTCTGTTATGATGTGAGACCAGCAAAATCTACTTCAATTTTGCTGCTTCTTCATGTCTATTTTGGGATTTCTTCTGACAGACTAGTTGGCCTCTAGTAAGATTTGTACTACAACACAAGCATCTAAAGATAATAAGGCAGATCGTAACTGAGCATTATAGTATTCTTCATCACTTCAGCTGAAAGAAACATGTTGGCTTTTCAGTATCTCATTGTTTGAAAAATTAAAACTATAATTTTTCTCCTGGATATTGACAAATGTTTCTTAGCACTTGAGCTGCATTGCCATCCATTAATCCATTTATTGCATTGGTCAATGAACTGTGGCAATTCTGTTTGAAAACCTGGAATCTTCCCTATTATTAAGTTTAAGACAGCCCTGTTCCCCCTCTACTGGGGCTGCTATTGTAGATCAGTAGGGTTAAAGGAGTTGTGGTGACTGACCTGGCCCATGTGAAGTATGCTCAAAACTATTTGACCTAATCTGCAGCATCTATAACTATCACCTGACTTTAAAAAAAATTCAAATTCAGATTGCTGTCTGCAAGATTAATTTCCTAAAGGTACTAAGATGGTTGCCCTCAAATGATCTTTCAGAAAATTTTGTTAACGTGTTTCCTGGAAGTTATAACCTTGTCTGCTCAATACTAGCCCCTGCCACTTGGTGCTGCTGTGGAGCTATGAATGTTGTCAGTGGACTAAATAAACAACTTCCAGTTTATTTTTTTGGAGATAGCATGAGCTGTAGATGCTGGAGTAAGTCAATACAGTGTGGAGCTGGAGGAACACAACAGGTCAGGCAGCATCAGAGAAGCAGGAGATTCGATGTTTCAGGCCTAAAGTGATGAAAGGTCTAGGCCTGAAATGTCAACTCTCCTACCCC